TTCCTAAAAAGCAATAGTTATAATGCATTTTAATATTTTTTTCGGATTTTTTTTTAAGCTTTATTACGACCGATTCACCCGATTCTCGATCCGAATCGCCGATTCACCGATCCAAATCAATTTTTTAGAAACTAGATCCGGATCACAGATCCGTTTTTTAAACCACTGCTTCAGATACAATATACAATAAATTATATCCCTAAAATTGTTTTGGCGGTATAATGTTAAAATTCAAAAATAAAGACAAAATTGGCGCTAAGCTTTCCCGCCCCGTGATAGTGAATTTCTGATTTTTTTGAAAGTTGGAAAGTTATTACTGCCAGGTCATTTCAAGAAAAGACTTGGTCATTTTCGTCATTTATCATACGTTTTTATTTTCTTGTCATAAGTACGAAATCCCTACGTCGCACCTCTCACGCTCATTTTGCCCTCGAAGCCGGTTTCAGACAATCACGAGGTACCCTTCTCTCTCTTAATTTTTTATTTTCTCTCTCATAAGTCTCTATTTTCTCTCGCCTTTTTCCGTCACTGTGAATTTCTTCAGCTGCAAAAATATTTCTTCTTTTGTGATCTTTTATGCAGAAAAATCACGTATAATAACACTGAGGTCCCTCAAAGCTTTTCGAAAATGGAAACCCTAGACAAGGGTTTTGCATCTGGAGTTGCAGAGGAGGAAACGATAGCGCTAGAAGAGTCGATGCAAGAGGGTTTTGGGGGTAAGGCGTCTAGTATTTCTGAATCAGTGTCTGAGAAAGATTCCCAGAAAGATGAGACTAGGGTTTCAGTTTCAGAGGTTTCTGGTGCTTCGGAATCGGCGTCTCTGGTAGTTGAAACTAGGGTTTTGGGTGATGGGGGTTCTGGGGTTTCTGAACCGGGGTTGCAGAAAGAGGAAGATAGTGTTTCGGGTGAAGGAGTTTCTTTACCCGAGTCTATAAAAGTTGCAGGTGAAGGGGTTTCTAGTGTTTCATCTGTAGAGTTGCATGGAGGGGAAGCCAAGGTTTCAGAAATGGCAATTTCTGGGGTTTCTGAACCAGTATCTTTGAAAGGGGACACTACGGTTTTGGAGGTAGTGGTTACTAGGGTTTCTGAGCGAGAGGCGGAGAATGGGGAGACTAGGGTATTAACCGAAGATGCTTCTGTTTTGAAAGGGGCTACAGAGGCCCTAGTTGAAGATATTTCTAGGGTTTCTGAGAGAGATGGGGTTGGTGTTTTAGAGACTGTAAAAGAGTGTTTATCTGGTGCAGTTGCGACTCTTTCTGATGCAACTGGATCTCAAGTAATCCAAGTCCAAAAGGAGACCCTAGAAATTGTAAAGGAAGTCAAGGTTGTAATAGCTGATACTGATTCTTCAGCTGAACCAGTTAAGTCCATTGAGGAGAAGCAACCCGTGCTTGAAATTGACGTTAGAGAGGATACCCCAAAAGATCTGTATAATAATAACGTGGCACAAGTGGGTTCTGGTGAGGTTACAGAAGCTGAAGCTAACCAGCAATTTAAGGAGCAAAACAATGGAAATGAAGAAGAAAATGGGGTTTCTTCTATGGAAGAAGACAAACCGAACCCAAAAACTACTGGTGCAGAAGTGGTTGATGCACACCATGGAGCTGGAGTAAATGAGCCAGGCAAAACAGTTCAAGATTCAGAGAAAAAGTTGGGAACCCAGGATGAAGTCCCTTTATCAGAAGGGAAACATGATCTGATTGAGGGTGTTGAAGGACAAAGAGATTTGATACCGGATGATGATTCAAATGCTGAAGTTGTAGAAGAAGATGATGAACAAGAAGGGGATGAAGAGCCATCTCAAAGTAACCAGTTTTCTGTGGGTGATTTTGTGTGGGGCAAAATCAAGTGCCATCCATGGTGGCCAGGACAGGTATATGACCCCCCTGATGCATCAGAATTGGCTAACAAGATGAGGAGGAAAGGTCGCCATCTCGTAGCTTATTTTGGGGATGGAACATTTGCCTGGTGTGATGAGTCTCAATTGAAACCTTTCGATAGCTACTTTGAAACATTCTCAATGCAAACAAATATGAATCGCTTTGTTAATGCAGTGGATGAGGCTCTTGAGGAAATCTCTAGACGTGTGGAATCAAAGATGATCTGCTCCTGTCTGCCCGAAGAATTACGTAATGAGCTGAAGCCACCTGTTATTACGAATGCTGGAATCAAGGAAGGAGTAACTGCCCCCCCACTTGGTGGTGTTGATATCGAATTGGTTAATGAGTTTGATCCACCTGTTTTTCTTGATTACATGAAAGAGCTTGCTTGTTCTCTATCTATTGATTCCAGGCTCAAGTTCTCTCTCTTTTGTGCTCAGTTATCTGCCTTCTTTTGTTCAAAGGGACTGGGTAGGATCCTTGAACTTCAGATTGTTGATGACAAGCAAGAAACAGGTGATACAGATTCAGTTCATCTTGTCAAGGAGTCGAGCCCAACTCCTATGGAAGAAGACTGGCTTTCCGGACCAGGAAGCCCAGGCTCTAAAAATGGCAAAAGCTCATCTCTTAAAAGGCCACAAATCTCTCAAGACAAGCTCTATCAGAGAAAGAAGAAGAGAAGCCTAGCTGAACTCATGGCGGAGAAGGAGAATAGCGGTGATTCAGGAGATGAAATCGAGAAGAAAGACACCGTTGTTGATAAAAAGGCTTCATCTTCTAAGAAAGCAAAGGTGGTGAAGCATTCAATATCCCCAAAAAATAAGCAAAGTGGAAACAGGAGTATCACGCCCAAAAATAAGCAAAGTGGAAACAAGAGTATCACGCCCAAAAATAAGCAAAGTGGAAACAAGAGTATGACATCTGTGAAAAATGCAGATTATCCAGAGGAGACCCCAAAGAGATTGGGGGTTACAAGGGTTGGCCAAAGCCTGAGCAAGATAGCCAGCCAGCTAACTGGCACACCCCCTATCCTTAAATGTAGTGGTGAGACATTTCAAAAGACTGTCGATAAGGTGGGCAGGGGTAGGCCCAAAGGTTCTAGCAGTGCAAGTCTCATGTCGCCTAAAGAGAACAAGAAAACACCAAAAGAGAATCAGAGTACTCCAAAAGAAAATCAGAGAACACCGAAAGAGAATCAGAGAACCTCAAAAGAAAACCAGAGGACACCAAAAGAGAATCAGAGAACACCAAAGGAGAATCAGAGAACACCGAAAGAGAATCAGAAAACACTGAAAGAGAGTGAAAAAACACCAAAAGAGAAGAAGAGAACACCAAAGGAGAATCAGAAAACACTGAAAGAGAGTGAAAAAACACCAAAACAGAAGAAGAGAACACCAAAAGAGAATAAGAGAACTCCTAAATCTAGTGAGAGAAGCGCTTCTCCTAAGTCGATTTTATCGGAGATATGCTTGGCTGCCATTAATCCTCCACTATATTATAAGGAGAATCGCTCTTCATGCCAGACTATATCTGATTTCTTTGCCAATTTTAGAAGTTCTCAGTATCTTCATGACCCAGAGTCTGGAAGTGCTGGTAGAAAGAGGGCATCCTCTGGTTCAAAAGACTCGATCTCAAGCCCTGAAGGATATTACGGGGGAAAGAGAAGGATGAGTAAAGAAGAAGCGTGGTTTTATGGCCCCAAGAAGAAGACGAAGCGATCAGCAATGGAACCACCTTCACCATTGAGGATTGAGAATAAGGAGACTCAGAAGGATAGCCCAGCAGCCCTCATTATCTCCTTTGCACGTGGTTTCAATTTGCCTTCTCAGACTGATCTGGTTGGAATATTTAGCAAATTTGGTCCTTTAAAGGAATCGGAAACTGAAGTGTCTAAAGACTCCGGTTGTGCTCGACTTGTCTTTGAGAGGAGCTCCGATGCTGAAGCGGCTTTGAATAGTTCATCCAAAAGTAGTGTGTTTGGATCAGCAGTTGTTAGTTATAGGGTGAGATATATGGCATTGGCTCATAAAAATGTGGAAAACAATGGAACTTCACAGGATCCAACATTAGTCGGAGGGAACATTGAGGAACCCATTTCTTCAATGACCGTGGAAATCAAAGGGAACTCAGTGGGACCGCCATTAAAGGGGGTAGAGAAAGGTGATAATGCTTCTCTGAAACTTGCCGAAGAAAATGGGAAAGATGAGGGGAATTTAAGCAAGAATGCATCAGATGGAGTAAAAGGTGTAGAATCCATTTCTTCCAAGACTGGAGAAATCAAGGGGAACTCAGTGGACCTAGCTTTACAGGGAGGAGACAGAGAGGACATGGTTTCTCTTAAAACTGGAGAAGGAAATGGGGATTTCACAGGCCCAAGATGATGGAAAGAAGGCATGGAGACTCTTGTTGAAGATGCAGTTGAAGCTGCGCAAGTGTCCATGGAACAAGCATAGTGGAAAATGAGGTAACATATTCTACTCACACATCAACTTGTTACATAGTTGTATCGTGTAGTGTACTCACTAGTGAGAAATGCTCCTCTTTTTAGCCTTATTTTCCCTTTGATTTTTTGTTTCCTCTTTGTTACTTCACTTCAAGTAGGAGAGTCTTGGTTGTATTGCTTCATCTTTACGGGGATTGTAAGAGATAAAATTGTTACTGTTAATTTGGTTGGGTTTTTTGGCTGAGATGATGATCATTGGGTATTAGTTTTAGAAAGGAAAAACAATGAAGATCATTGCAAGTTGAATTTTTTACGGCCCTCTATGACCATTTGTATTCTGGTATGTCTGGTTCCTGGGTCTCGCTTTTCTTTTGGTCATTTTATTTGTTTTTGCTTCCCTTACATCTGCTTTAGTTTTTGGAGAGTTCGATTTGCATGGGTTATTTTGCCTTAATCTCCATATTAGTAGGGTTTTCGTCCTGTCTTATATATATGTATGTATCATTTGGATCGGTTTCTTTCTATGGTATTTAGTTCATAAATATTTTATTTGTTGCTCTTCTTTGGTGACTCTGCCACTGTGAGGAGAGAGAGAGAGAGAGAGAGAGAGAGAGAGAGAGAGAGAGAGAGGAGGAGATACTACTTACTTACTAGTAGTTGTTGTTGTTAGTAGTAGTGTGTTGTTTGTTGTGTGTTGTTTGTTTTGTTAGTTAGTAGTAATAATAGTACGCGACGTCTACGTTAGTTCGTTCGTTTCGTTACTTTTAT